TACGCCACAGGGGGGCACGACATAATTGATGGCAATAGTGCAAACGCGTGTGAGTAAATCTTGTACTGCGGCCAAGAGTCAATTAGCTCATTGTTGATAAGGATAAGGTCTTTGACAAGTAATTCCATTGGAATAGGAAATCCTCAACGGTTTACTGATTTGGCCATTGGTGTCTTCCATATTGGGTGAAATTCATCACCAAACACTGGCGCATGCTTTTGAAGCCCATAACCTCACTAAGAAAATGCTTGCACAACATATTCGAATCAACCAATGAAAACTTCATCTTTTTTTGATTGGTGCCAGCATTTCCACACCTTCTTTTGGTGAACCATTGTCGATATGCCATTTCTTTCCTTGGTTCGTTCGTTTGATCCCCAATGAGGAGCACACCTCAACCGGCAGGCTTACAATAGAAAACCCATCTCAGAAAGTGACAGAAAACACAAAATCTCGATATACAGCCAGAACGATTAAGTAGTGCAACATGACATTAGCGGCTGTAGATGCATGCAACTTGTCAATAGAATGTTCCGACGTTATGGAACCGGCCATCTGACTGATAATATTCCCAAAGAAAATGTAATGATTGATATGCGAGACGAAGGTCAAGCGAATCAGTTGATCCATTCCCGGGGCGGGTCACATTCCTCTTTTCCCGCCTTTTCGCGTGTACTATATGAACCTCGGGATTGTAATATCGTACGTCGCTATCTTCTTGCCACAAAAATGGAACGAATTTCTCCGCATAGTTGTGACATGGTCATGGAGATATACTATACATATGTCCGGTGTGATTGATTCATCTCATCGATATGAACAGCCATAAATTCCGCAGCACGTCCATGAAAGTCGTGCTATATGACAAAAATATGTGAGTGAGGGCGATCAGGTACATCGTGAGCCCTCTTTGGTAATTTTCTGTAGTTTCCGGTGGTCCAGATTTGTCAATAGGGATTGAAAGTAACAATCACTGCCAGATGGGTAAAACAAGAAGTTTTTGATCCACTAAGTCTCAATGTGATACCACACCACAGTCACGCGTTTTCCACTGATCCTGTTGCACCACATTAAACAACATCATGATTGTAGGGTTCTGATGAAGACTATCATAGGATTGGCTGATGAAGGAATATGGTTCGATTGAAGGGAAAAGATCTGCATGTGACTGTCAGCATACGTAACTAGTATGTATGAATGAGATTCTACTTGGTAAACAAATGCCCAATTCCAAGAATGTCCTGATCTTCGTCCTCCATGAGCAAAAGTGTGATATTTTGGGTCCGGGTTTCAAGAATACTGTAATGTGCAATATTGACTTGTTTGCTTTCTTTCGCTCTTGAAGATAACCTATACTTCTGGTGGTCTTCAGCCGTGAAATCCTTTTGTCATACCCTCTCAGCATATTCATATCACTTGGTTAATGAGGAGTCAGTATGGGCCAAGCCATTTCTGCCCCTAGTAAGCCAGAAAAATTGCTTACCTCGACATTCAGGACTGTGTGTTTCTTTCGCTTTGTCGTCGGTGGCGAAGTATGCATACATAGTAGAGAAACAAAGATTGGCAAATCCGTTGTCTGACATTTGCGATCAAACTTTGTGCATCGAAAGACTAAACAAGGGACAATAAGGCTCTATTGAGGGAAGTTATATTGTCTCATCATACATCTTGTACGTTGAAATACTCTATCACATGATGGATAGAATGCTGCTATGATTTCTCATCCTTCGAAATATTGGCTGCAGGTGTGGTAACTTGGTGATGGATAGTATTCTTCAACAAGATTCCTCTGATTCAATGTTGATAAGGATGGAATAGAAGTTTTGTGATCAAAAATTCAACGACATCACCTTGGTTGGAATTTGATGAGGATAGAATACAAATTTCTTATGTTTGATGATTCGCGATGAAGAATGAAATTGAAGATGTGCTCAAACCTGATGTTCCGAAGCAAAGGCCGCCACTTAGCGTTGGGACTCCTTCCCAAAATCCAAAATTATCATCACGCGAAGTATACCACCAAAGTACCTAGGTAGGCACTTACGATTCCTTCCCTTTCTTCCTCGTCTCCCCAAAACTTGTTCCCATCAAATCATTACTGAGACTGATAAAAATAAAGATATAAATAGAAACTCACTTTGTACCATTCCATTTCCTTGAGATCATTCACAGAATACACACAACGTGGAACTGATCCATATTCACGAGCTGTATTAAAATCCGATGGCATTTGAGCTCAATACTAAGCTTGAAGAGAAGTATGCATGAGTGGGCGTTTATCTTCACAGACGATTGACTTTGAATACAGACAGAAAGATGGGATGAAAGATCAAACCGTCGTTTCAAGACTTCAAACACGATCGTAATAATTATCCACCCATACGATGGACCAAGAAAAATCGTGTACCAAAATCGGAAATCACATACCTACCTACGCTCTGTCTCCTTTCAATATTCTCATTCAGATTTGACAAGTGGCTCTTCAGACTGAGATACTTCTGGCATGTAATTTGAGTGTGCGATTTTGTCATTCAAGGAATCGCCTCCTGTGTTGTGAAAAATCAAATCGATCGTATTTGGCTGTTCGCCGGTTAGGCCACAAAGTCAATTGATTCGAGTGGGCGCCGCGCCGCCCCGAACCGATGAAGCATTGAATGTATCCTCTAGGATCTCTCCAATTTTCACATTTGTTTATTGCGAGGTCATATGAGCTGTCAATGCCTGTAATGGGTAGCCTCGGTTTCAAGAAATTATGGACAAGGCGAATGTGAGCGATCAAAGTGGAATGAATGAGTGTACGCGTTTAAACTTTTATCCTCGCTCTCGGTCTCCTATTCAAAATTTCAAACCTCGGCATTCCGACTTTGAAGCCCGAGTTCACGATGTGGTCATTTTTTTCCTCCAAGATGCAAATCATGCAATGCTAGAAACGGTTGGCAGATGACTATTGATTGAGAAGCAAGAGTCTCGACCATCCGTTGCTCCATCTTGCGTTTCAACTCCTGATCGCTGTCAATGTTGTCTAATGCACATATGTGGATCTAATGAAAATTTCTTTCATGGGCGTTAAGATTTTGCGGGGGAAAACAAGGGAAGAAGAATGAAGCGGTGTTCTTCAGCCCTGTTGCTTCTACATTGGTAAGGGGTGAGCTTGTGAAGTTGTGGGGAATGGATTAAAAGTTTTCAGTGTGTTGACATCACTAGAAAATCTCTTTTCAGTTCTGACTCTAAATTCTATGGAGCTTTGAGGAGTTTGGAGAGGTTTATTTGGAAAGACATTCAAGGAAGAAAAGGGAAACAAGGGAGGAAAAAGAGACAGAAGAGAAAATGTCTCTAAATACAATGGTCTCATTGGTTCATTTCTATTAAATGATGGCATTAAAATGACAGTCCATTGAGACATTGAGACATTGAGACATTAAGCCATCTCGCCATCTCGTTGTCACTGCGGAATATAGCCCTTGTCATAAGTTGTCAGCACACAATTTTGGCTTTTCATGGTACGGTACCTGAAAATCTAAAGCCGGGCGGAGAATTTGAACTGGATAAACTACCTAGGTACAGAACCTTAGGTACAGACAGGTAAATAAGCTCATTGGTGGTAAGTAAGACGAGGCTCTTTCGTAGTTTAGGTTAGGTGAGGTTACCCGAGTACGACTCAACACCTGCAGTTGATGGGTAAGCTTACATATATCAGAAAATTGATGAGATCTGAAAAGATTATGGCGATATATGGCGATATATTATTATTAATAGTTGACAAGACAATTCAATGATTCCTTTTGAAATGATGTTTTCCATAACACGAAGCACGTTTTCATGGGCACACTTGATACGTAGAGATACATACAAAAGGAGTCAAGTACATACCTACATACATAGACTTGATCAACAATTACCAAACGCATAAGAAACAAATCAACTCATCTCCTCCATACATGGTGCCACTTTCTTTGACACTCAGTGACACTCAAGGAAATCTCTCACCGTACCACACACACCACATGGCCAATTCGTAACTTGTCCCAAGCGTAACTTTTCTTCTCTGCTCAATTCATCGACTTGGCACGTTGGCACGCATGAGAGATCTGATGCGAAATTGCTGACGAAATTGGAACTATCCCTATAGTCTCTCACGATGTTGCCATTGCTGCAAGATCGACTGGATGTCCGAATTTCAATTACCCCCAGGTTTGCTCAGAGGCCAGGGACAAGACCAGGAGGCCCAGGATCATACGAACCAGGATAGACGAGGAAGAAGCTAAAAATGATCATTTTCCAGCATTTTCTCCTTAAGCGAATGGAAATAGAAGGATCTAGCGTTTAGTGATTTCGTAATAGTAACCACAAAATTCATTCACGAGTGCGAGAACTTTGGTAACTTGACAACTTTGGCAAGTTGCTTCAAATTGGTTGGTAGGAAGTTGGTACGTGCGAGTATTGTTATGGAAAATGACTTCCCAAGGTTGATGTTATCCATGTCCCTTGGTTTAGTTCACGGCAAAACGGAGAGCGGTTACCTCTAACTGCAAAGTGTCAAACATCGTGAGAAATTTAGAATGCGAAATGCGTGGGAAAATTCGAAAGAGAGATTCGTGAACAAGGAAATAATGAAAGGAAAAAAAACCTTTTGTTTATTTTTAGTTAGATGACTCGTATTGTGTAAAGAGTCACCTGCACTATGTGTTTCTATATATCAAAGTGAGGAGTAATCATAAAAGGATTGAAGAGAAAAGGATATAAGAAAACGTTGGCCCACATTCCTCTGCTTGTTGTAACTACTATTACTCAAATCACTTTACAACCTAAACATTTACCACACTCAACCATAAACTACTTCACTACATCACATCACATCAACTTTACCACCTCATCAACCAATCTTCAAAAAGTGCTCATCATAACCTGTGAATACTTTCAAACACCCTTCAATCAACTACCAAACCAACATCTACACCCTCAACAACCAACCAACCAAACAAATAACCACACCCGCAACCATGACAACCCGATACCAAGTCACCGAACCTCACCCTCACGTCGCCACATCCTCATTCATCCATTCCGGCCGCGGCGGAGCAGGAAACACATTCAAAGCCCCCAAGACCACCAACGGTAGCAACGCCCGAGGCCCCGCCTCCCTCTTCACTCTCGGTCTCCCCCAAACCTCATCTAAATTCAGCAGCGGCCGCGGCGGCGCCGGCAACATTCTCCCCACCTCCAAGAAAGCCCCGTTCTCCTTCGACGAAGAACTCGAACGCCAAAGCACCCGCGAAAAGAAGATGAGCGAAGGAGGCATGTGGCACGTTGGACGGGGCGGCGCCGGAAACTACACCAGCGGACGACCCGCCAGCGAACGCAAGAGTTCGACCAGCTCCGAGGACAGCAATGGGAGTATTCGCAGTGCGCGGAGTGGAGGATTTCTCGAGCGCTGGACTTCGAGGAATTCGACGAGAACGCGTAGGAGTTTGAAGAGATATTTTTTTTCGCTCTCTTTTTCCGTCGTGATTAAGGATAGAACAGAAGTCTCGAGACTTGGATTATTCTGCGTGCATATGCATTACGATAACTATGATTTTTTTCTTCGCGGCGCGGTACTATACATTGCATGGTTTTTACCTATCTGGGGCAGAAGGGCATACCTTCGCATTTCAACATTTAAAAGCATTATGATGGCGTTTTCAACATTACATTACTACTTCACTCCCTCTTAATACACACCTACAACTCATCTCATCTCATCTCATCGCATTCAACACAAACGGGCGCAACAACGGGGAGGGGAAACAAATACACAAGTCACAAATGGTAAACGGGCAGGGAAAGGAACGGAAAGGAAAGGAAACGGGGGCACAAAAAAGTTTATTTGAATTTTCATTTTCATTTTGATTTCCATTTCTTCTTCGCTTGAATGAGCGATTGGCGCTGCATGCATGTATCAGGGCAATGTATGTTACCTATAACAAGGTTATTACCCAAAATACCTACCTAGCAACAATATGATACCCCGGATTTTTCTATATTTGGGGAGACAGGGGCAGGAAGGAAGGCAGGAAGAAAGGCAGGCAGGAAAGATGTACTCTGTACGAAGGGGAAACTGGTTATTTAGTTGGTATTTAGGTAGTTGAGTAGGATGATGTTTCTTCGTGGTGAAGATTTATGTTATATTACACTTGGGTATACGATACAATACAATAAGATACGATACGATACGATACGATACGATTAATACAAATCTCAATCCAATCTGAATCTTTACAATTAATAGTCAATGTGCACAACTTCAGACTCTCGAGCGAATCTTCTTTTCTTGGATCAAAGCAGGTCAGTCAGTCAGCCATCAGGTACTAACTTATTTAAGTGATCAACCAACTGAGCCAACTCAATATGTACAACTCAACTCAACTCAACTCCCCGCCATACCCCGCCTTGGCAACAAACATCATCATCATCAAAAAACACGACCTAGTAACCGTAATGCATGTATGACTAATAAATAAATGAATAAATCAAGACCACCAGGACACTTATACTCCGTACAGCACACCATACCTTCCCGGCTTCCCGGATATGGGTCTGTCTCAGTACTAGATAGACAGGCTCGTAAGTACCTAGACACTTAACTTCTTAATATTCTCTTTTACTTCTTTTTCGTTTTCTTATTCCAATTCTGATTCCCTTGCTTTTCTTTTTTGTATGTATGAATTGAGCTGGTGAGGTTCTGGATATTTTGGAAAGGACCTTAGAGATGGAATGGAATGAATGGATAGAATGGAATGGAATGAATACTCTGTAATTCCCTCATTTCATTTTCATGGAGACTATGGACTATGCACTACGGATTGTGAATTTGAGGGATTATAGGGAGTGGATGGGTGGAGAAATATAAAGGAAGTGGAAATGGAGTGGAAATGGAGTGGAGTAATGAGATGTATATGGATATGTAAGATGATATGTATATCCTAAAGGAGATTTTGATTGTGTAAGAGAATAGATTATCTACCTAGTGATTGATGGGTTTGGTGTGGGAGTTTCTGGTTTATATGTATGGAGGGAGGTATGTGGAGAGAGGGGAGAAGGAGAGGGGAGGAGGAGAGGGGAGAAGGAGGAAGGAGAGAGGAGGAGGAGAGAGGAGAGAGGAGGTTAGAGAATGTGAATATTGATTTAATTTAATTTGATTTCTTCGTGGTTACTGAGAAGATGGATGGGGTATTGAACGGGGGTATACAAAAGGGGGATTGAAACAGAGGGATTGGTGATGAGGCGATGTGAGGTGAGTAGAGTCAGTGAGGTGTGAGTTTCGCGTTTCAGTCGTATGTATGTATGTATGTATGTATGTATGTATGTATGTATGTATGTATGTATGTATGTATGTATGTATGTATGTATGTATGTATGTATGTATGTATGTATGTATGTATGTATGTATTATACTAGGTACGTATATGTACCTCTATACCTATATATCGATATACATATAATCATAAGATCTTATACACAGAAGAAGTACATTTCCATCTCATCTGATATATTAACGATCCAACAAACGATTCAATTATCAAAAACGTGATTGCGAATTTAGATAGAGATAGATGATATAAATCTCATCTCATCTCATCGTTTCTAGGTATCGTATTATATACTTCACATTATATATACTAGGTAGTTACTTATTTAATTTTTGATATAAGATTACTATATGATTCCTCGTATAACTAATAGTTCTATATAGTATAAAGTATCTACCATCCTCCCCCTTCCCCCGATAAAAATAAACCCGGATATAACCGCTTTTCTGATTTTCCGTTTTTGATATTTAACTTTTTACTTTGCTTACTTGTTCACTTGTTTAGGTACACCATACTTACTTGTTTCCTTACAAGAGTAAAACAAACTAATGCCAAGAAAGCCTAGCTCGCTCGCTCTCTCCCCCGGACCCCGCATTATCCGGCCTCGTGAAGATTGTGCGTTATGCTGATAATTAATTACTAATTAGCTTTGTATGTGGCGTTTTGATGGCGAGTTGAGTTTTGGGTTTTGAGGTGGGTGCTTGGCTGGGGTGCTGGGGAGAGGTTGGGGTTGGGTAAGGGGGAGGGGGTGAGGGTCAGGGAGTGAAAGAAGGTGTTGGGGATTGGGGATTGGGGATTTAGTTGTGTTTACTATGTTGGAAGATTGGAAATCTAGGGATAGATGGTATGTATATGTTTTTTTTGATTTTCTGGATTCATCTGTCTATTTGAAACTAGGTTTTGTCGGGAATTATCCTAAAGATTCTGGGATCCTGAGGGTTGGAGATTCTGGGGTTCGAGGGTTCTTAGAGGTGGCGAGTTGAGTATAGGTAGTATACATACCAGTAGGTACCTGTGAGCCTACTACCTAATTACCTGGCTCTCTGAAGATGGAGATGAAGATCAGAATCTGGGGGATATCAGATGGCTTTTGTTAGTCGTGTGGGTGATGTGGGTGACGTACTCTGGGGTTTGAGGTTTGGAGTTTGGGGCTCGGGCTCGGGCTGTAGGTACGAGTCATGATTATAATGCCACATGAATCGAATAGATTTGCTGGGTTGGAGAAAGAGGAGGGGATGTTTCGTTTTAGTACTCTGGACTTGGGTTTGGCTGTTTGGGGGAGGGAGGGGTAGGTGGATTCTTTATTTCTGTGCATGTGTTCTGTGATTTGATGTGGAAGGGATTGATGTCGTGTAGATAGCTTAATGAAAGGTTTTGTTACAATTCTCTCATGGGGAAGTCTTCATGTGAAATCGGAATATTGTATTGTAAGATCTTATCATATAAGAAAGGTGTATCGAGTGGCAGTTTAATAGATAGATAGATATATTGACATGCGTTTATTCGGGACTCTCTCGTTGCTTTACACGAATGATTATATACGCATATTCAGCATTACCCCGTTTCTTTACATGAATAATTTTGTTTTATTCCCTCCTAACTACAATTAAGATTCGTCACAATCTTGAAGTCATGGCTTCTTATTACGAATCCCTAGGAGCTTTATTCCAAGTACATTTCGTGAATGCGGTCATGTTCTTATTTGTATAGTACAAATAGAACACACACATAGAATATCATCAGGTAGTTTACATTTCCGCCTATTCCTAGAAATAACCCTCTTTCTTCTTAACTCTGGATTGCCAAAACTACATTCCGTGTGCATCATACTACAGTACGTATAATCGCATCTTAAACACCATAGTTCAATCATCCATTTATTCCTGCATTTCCAGAACATGATTGATACTTTTAAAAAAGCACACAGCTTCACATCATCATCATCTCCTTTATCTTCGTCTTAGATTTAGAAAGAACTTTCCTGTGTGCCTGGCGAAAACAATATATCGTGGGCACTTATAAGTGAAAGCGCTTACATTCAAGTAAAAGTAAATCAAGATGTATATGGTAAGATGGATGAAAAGAACTCAAGACTTCCAGCTCTCTCTCTCATGAATTATGCCTTAAAACATGCAAATTGTAAACTCACAAAAGGATTTTTGGTCCTCTCTCATGAGATTTTTTCTCCGGGCGCTGAGGTCGAGTTTCTCTAGGAATGAGATTTGTACAGTATAACTACATCATTAGACTTACAACTCCAGATTCTGAATTAATTTGAATCGGGAACACAAACATGCGATTGTGCCGGAAATCACAAAGAGAGAATAGAATGTGTCTTGATACAAGACGCAGTAGCTAGATGAAACCCTATACTAGAAGTCCAGACGCGGATGTAAGCGTGAAGAGAAATGTTATGGATTAATCTCAAATCGAGAATTTTGGTGATAAATTCGCGCTTCATGCGTGCGGAAGGATTGGGATGGCACTTCTAGTTGGGGCCGACGAACAGGGATCATAATTTTGCTGAGCATCATCATTAGAGATACCAAGCATAATCTCGATGATTGGAATGTATGAGTTCAAATTAAGAATCTGTATGTCTGGGGAAAATATCACCTAGATAATATGAAATAAATAAGATGTCGAATTTGCAGTGTCTCACAGAGAGGAAAACTTTATGATGTGATGCATGATTGATATTGTTCTATGCTATTCTAATCTTCCTGATTGTTCTTCTCCTAGGGAGAGTATATGACCGGGTCATCCGTGATCTTTTTATCTTCTCGGCTTCTGATTCTGATTCTTTGCATGCTCTGAGATGGGTTTCCGGCTCCTGCGGCTAAGAAAACTTCCTACTCCGGAATTTCTTTCTCTGTTATATTGAATTGCTTATTGCTGATAAGTGGTTCCTTGCCTGTTCAGTTTATCCCATATTGCACATGAAGCTCCTGTCAGCATCTGGACACCTAGAATAAAATCCCATCCGTATTACATGTGTCAATTTTGTATTCGAGGAACTAATCGCAAAACCAGTATCACTAGTTTCTTTGCTAGCTTTCTTGCATTCGGTCGAGGGACCAGAGTCGGTCTGATTGAGATTCGTGGTGCCGACTTGTACCTATCATACTTGCTTTGATTTCTATAGGAGTAGGCTACTTCTAGATTCGACACTCGAAACAACGCGACTTGTGTTTCCATGTATAAAGAGAGCAGTCAATGAGTCCTCAAACGGTTTTCATTGAGGCCGTGGTGTTGGTTTGGAAAGTGCTCGTGTGCTTTGGGGATTTCTGGTTGGTCTCGTGGTAGGATGATAGAATTTTCCTGAGAGAATTGATGAAGTATTTGTAGTGTTTGTAAAATAGCTG